AAGGCAAGGGGTCCCAGAACCTGGAAGATGCTGGATGCAGGGACTGGTTTTAAGCAGGCTTCGCAGGATCCCCGCCCAGCAGGGTGCCCAGCGGGCTTGAGAAGAGCTGGGGGTGCCACTCCGGGTAGCCCAGTTTCCAACTTCAGAAAACTTTCTGGGTGCTGCTTTCCCCCCTCCCTCTCTTGGTGGAGATTTCAGTGGGTCTGGAAAGCTCATGGGTTGAAGCCTCTCTGGTTGGGGGAACCAGAAGTTGGGAGTTCAATCCCCCCCCCACCAGGCCTCCTTTGACAGGGCTGGACGTGGAGCCAGAAGTTGGGAGTTCGATTCCACACACCCCACCATGCCTCCTTTGCCAGGGCTGGACGTCGGATGATGATCGAGAGGGTCCCTTCCAGCTCGGCAGGATTTCAGAGGGCATGAAGGAGTGGGTCCAGAGCAGCCCCTCCCGGAGACCACGTTCTGGCTTGGACCAGACCTTTATGGGGTCACAGAAACACGAGAAACAAGTCCTAAAAATCCTCAGCAGGCCAGGTCGGTATCAAACTGGGGGCCGATCGTTTCCTTCCGGGGGGTGGGGTGTCCGTGGCTTTCAGAGCCAGGCTCTCGCGCTGCCCTCGGGGAGAAGAGCCGGGTAGCCTTGGGCAAGCGGCCCAGTCCCCAGAAGGGCCTCCCAAACGAAGGGCACGCTCAGCCATTTCTGAGTATTCTTTCTCTGGGAAACCCTGGAAAGGATCGCCAGAAGTCAGGGTTGACTTGACGGCGCAGGACGATGATATTATGGCATGGGACGAAGGGGCCAAGGCTCACAATCTGTCGCAGGGGTGGCCAGCTGGGAGGGCTTCAGGCCACAGGCAGCCCCTCGCGTGTATTGATGTAGACCCCCGAAGCCCTGCCCATATTGTTTCTGGAATCTCTCTCGCTCACACACACCCCAAAATCTAGTCAGTGCTATCTTGCACCCCCCAAAATTGGCAGCACAGCTGTCGGTTGTATCTCCATCTTCACTGCAGTGATTTTAAACATCTGCCACTTGTTTGAATTTATTATAAAAGGTAGCATTGACAATACTTCTCTCTTTTTTTGGTAAAATTGACCTTGTTTGTTTTCTTTGTAACTTCATTTGATTAAGTCATTTTCAACTCAGATTACAGACTTCCTTAGTTCTGACTCCCAGTTTAGTCGAGACAACGCAACTTTACCTAAAAAAAAAAATCAAGGCTCTAAATGATAAGCCTGAATTCTCTCTGGAGGCCAAAAGGTTGAAACTGAGACTGTCCTACTTTGGGCCCATCCTGAGAAGGCCGGATTCCCTGGAAAAGACCCTCAGGCGGGGAAAGGTGGGAGGCAGCAGGAAAGGAGGAAGACCCCAATGCAAGATGGACTGATTCTCTAAAGGAAGCCACAGGCTTGAGTTTGCAAAAGCTGAGCAGGACATTTGGGAGATGGCTCATTCATAGGGTTGCCATAAATCAGACGTGGCACATAGCAACAGCCACAGATTATGAACTATTAAGAAGCTGGCAAACAGCTGGCAGAGATAATAAAGAAGGGGCTGGCATTGTTTTGAGGGTCATTATCCCCCTGGTTTGAAGTGAGTATTTTGGGTTTAAGGGTTCTTAAGTCAAACAGGAAAGGCTGCGGGGTTGACTCAACCTTTGGATGCTCTGCTGCTTATGTAAGATTCTCCCCACTGAGCTTTTTTCTTTTTCTTTCTTCCAGCTGCAGTCGGTACCCCTTGATCTCGAGGGCAAAGAGCCAAGGATGAGTTGCCCTGGGGGGGCCCACACAGCCGCCGCCTTCCGCCCTCCGCCGGCCTGGCGGGGCTCCCTCGACTGACGCACGCACCCGACCGCCGGGCGGCTGCTGCTGTTGTTGTTTACGTTGCCACCGCTGCCCATGCGCTCCCTGGTTAGAGAAGAGGAGGAGGAGCCTCTTGCCGGCTGCCAAAGCATCATCATCACCCTTTCCGCCGGCTGCTCCCCGGCCTGGAATCTCTCCTGCACATGGCCCTAGCGCAAGGCAGCCTCTGGCCGCGGTGGCAGAGAAACGCCTCGGCCAGCGGGCCCGACAGGGAAGCAGAAGAGAGCCCCAGCAGTGGTATGTTAAGCAGCAACGGTTGCCCAGAACGGGATGGATCCAGGCCTCCGTGGATGCTGAGAGAGAGAGAGAGAGAGACGCTGAGATTCTAGCGGCTTTCCCGGCGGCAGGCCCGGCTTTGATTCCCCCCTCCTCCAGATTCCCTGGGTGAAAGCCTCAAAGAGAATTTTTAGTATTGTTATTTATTTTGGCCAGGCCAGGCTGGTCCCGCTGGAAACCTGATCGCAGTGACTCACCGGGAGGGGCGTTTGGAAAAAGGATGACAGGAGGAGACACGGAGCAGCAGCGGGGCTGAGATGCCTCTCCCGGCGGCCAGAAGAGAGAGAGAGTGTGTGTGAAGGACGGCGTATGTTCTTGGTGGAGGCTCGGCTAGGAGGAACTCTTCCGGACTGAACTCTTCCCCACCGTTGGCATCTCCGGACCCGCGGCTGTTTTGCGCAGAGACTGGGTTCTGCCCCAGCCGGCCTGCCCGTCCCCGATGTGCCTGCCCTCTCCGAGGAGAAATGACAGAGGGATGAACTCTGCTGATGGTGCGTGGCCCCTCTCTCCCTGGAAACCGGATCCGGGCCCCAGCGGGGGGCTGAGGCGCTTCGCCCCGTCTCTGCCGCCTTGGCCTCTGGTGGCCACCGTCGCCGTCTGGCTGGTCACGGGCACCACCATGTCCAGCCTGAACAAGTGGATCTTCGCCATCCACAACTTCCGCTACCCGGTGCTGCTCTCCTCCCTCCACATGCTGACGGCGGTGCTGGTGGGCCACCCCTTGGCCAGACTCTGGGCCGGCGAGGACGCCAACCCCGCCGTCCGCCCCGAAGCCAAAGTCCGGGTGTTCCTGCTGAGCGTCACCTTCTGCGCCAGCGTGGCTTTCGGGAACATGGGACTCAACTACGTCCAACTGGATTTTGCCCAGATGGTGTACACCACCACCCCGCTTTTCACCCTGACGCTCTCCAAGGTCCTGCTGGGGAAGCGCCACCACCCCTTGCAGTACGCGGCCATGGGGCCCATCTGCTTGGGGGCTTCCTTGAGCATCGTTGGGGAGGTGCATTTCGATCACGCCGGCTGCTGCTTCCTCTTTGCGGCCACTTTCCTCCGCGGGCTGAAGTCCATCCAGCAAAGTAAGTCATTTCAAGCCGTCGCCATGCAGGGAACAGAGCGGAGGAACATGCCAGGTTTAGCAGAATCTGCCTTTTTTTCTCTCTAAATAAAGTCACTAGTCCTCATGACTGCAAAGAGAGATGTTGGAACGTGTGGGAGCATCTCAGGCAATCCTAGGTGTATCCAAAGCAGATTTCCAGTGGCTGGGCATGAACTATTTATGTCCGGACACGCCCGGTGAATAAAATGTGAACAGCTTGTGTGTACGATGCTTATCTGCATAATTTCCTGTCTTGTGCATAGAGTAGACTTGGACGGCTTTCCCTTGAGGAATAGGAATTCAAGGATTTATGTTTAACCTTGACTTGGCCAGTGTTGGGTTAATTAATTCCATTCGGTACAGTGAATTTTTTAAGGCTGGGTACCGAAAAACACACACACAACCTTGTGTTTGGAAAGCGAAGTCTTTTCGTGGAGAGACTAGCTGGGGGAAATGATTCATCATTACCCGGACTGTTGTCTTAGAAACAAACCAACAAGATCAGGCGGGGAAAACAACAGTTTTCACATTTAAATTTGCTCCTTTTGGTAATGAAGCAGGCCTCAGCAGCCCGCGGGTTCAAATCTAGAAACGGGTTTATTCTGAACTACCCTTAAGAATCACCATTAGGGATCAACTGGCTTATCATAAATATTTTCTCTAGTTTATTCTATTGTTTTTCTGTTCTGAAAGGTTCTGTTAAGGATTCCTTCCCTTTTAAATTGTAAAGGGAAGGGCCTCATTTCCTCTCTAAATGACAGATAAAGAAAGTCAGAGAGGGCGAATTGCATATCTTTGCCAATTTTGCTTGATCATCTTCTGTCTCCAGTAGTATAAAAACTTCTATGTCCGTTCCACTGCTGAACAGCTAAATTTACGTGCTTAGTTGTGTGATCTACAAATTTAACAGTTCTTTGAGGAGGGAGGTCTATCAAGGAGGGTCTAATTTACACTCATGTAAGTGTCTGAAAGACAGAAGGAGAGAAAAGACATTATAGCTAACCTGTTTTTGGAAGACAAAAATCCTTAAGCGTTTATGGCATGCAAGTGTCACAGTAGCTTCTGTTCACACCCCGGATTTAGCAAACTACCTTTGTGATTGGTCTTAGATAGGGATTGTTTTGAAGATTCCTCAGAGACTGAAGTCTGCCTGAATCACGTTTCTCCAACACAATAACAAGCTTTCAACCTTAGTGATGGGTTCTTAGGTTAAGAACACAGGTTTGTAAGGGCAGACCAGTTTCTGCCCTTCAACCTCTGTCTACTTAACCTAAGAACAAGTGTGTTAACTTTTACAGAATATGTGTGGGTGTAAAAGAAGCCTCTTAGTTTCTTAACTCAGGACCTAGATTCTCCTGGATGAAAAAGAACTGAAATGCAGCAGTACAATAATTTTGTTTGAAAGGGTGTGTGTGGATTTGCTAACATAAATGAATCACCGGAAGAGCATCTCAACTTTCTAAGGGACATGTTGGGGTCTGAGGTTGGAAATCCACCCAGCAGCCCTCCTTAACTAATGATGTCTCCAGACTACGACCCTTTAGGAAATTGCCCTGCGTACACCCTGTTGAAAAGGACAGGATGTGCCCGTACGCCTCTGAGCATCAGAGGAAAGGCATGTGCACTGGGCTGTCTGTTGTGCTGGACAGCTTCCCACAAGCCATTGACCCGCCACTGGACCACACATTGCATCATCTGTGTGATGAGCGAGGGCATTAAAAACCAAAGGAGGTTTTAATGGATTGTTGTGCTCTGCTGTTTTGAACTGGTTTAATATGGATCTTCGTTGCCATTCGAATAGAATACGTGCTTCATTCTTCTTTTTAAAAAATAATGATAGACTTAAGATTTTTAGCTTCTCAATACTGTTTTAATGATGTCGGCCACCTTGGGTCCTGTTGGGGGAGAAAAAGGCCGGATGGAAATATTTTCAGTAAATAAATAATAAAATAAAGAAAGAAAGCTGAGTTGGCAGAGGGAACATCTGGATGAGAAAGAAAAACAGGGGGAGCAAAGCAAAAGCAAATGGGAAGCGCTCTCGGGAGATGGGGAAGCGAAGAAGGGCTTTCTCTCCTTGGAAAGTTATGTACTTGTATTTGTGTATGAATTAAGACTGTGAGGGTTGTAAATTCATACGTGAATACTTGTACTCGCTTATGTATTAAGATGTGGGATGTGGTGGCGTTGTGGGTTAAACCGCAGAAGCCTCTGTGCTTCAAGGTCAGAAGACCAGCCGTCGTAAGATCGAATCCACGTGACGGAGTGAGCGCCCGTCGCTTGTCCCAGCTCCCGCTAACCTAGCGGTTCGAAAGCATGCAAAAATGCAAGTAGATAAATAGGTACCACCTCAGTGGGAAGGTCACGCCGTTCTGTGTCTAGTCGCGCTGGCCACGTGACCACGAAAACTGTCTATGGACAAACGCTGGCTCTAGGGCTTGGAGACGGGGATGAGCACCGCGCCCTAGAGTCGGACACGATTGGACTCAATGTCAAGGGGAACCTTTACTATGAATTAAGACCGTGACGGTTGTAAATTCATATGCAAATTCATACAGTTGTAAATTCATATGCGAATACTAGTATTCGCGTATGAATTAAGACCGTGAAGGTTGTAAACTGCCTGAATAAACAGAACTCTGCACGTATGTTCTGGATAGTGTGAGAATACCACTCACTGATCTAGGGGATTTCTCTCTCTCTCTCTCTCTCTGTCTCATATATCCTTGGGAAATTTTCCTTCCTCCCAGGTAGGTCTGTCTTCAAAGGTTAAACCTCCCCGGGAGAGGGCTTCCCGTTGACCTGTGTCTTTCTCCTCTGACAGGTCGATTATTCTCTCTCTCTCTCTCTCTCTCTCTCGTATATCCTTGGGAGATTTTCCTTCCTCCCAAGTAGGTCTGTCTTCAAAGGTTAAACCCCCCCAGGAGAGGGCTTCTCATTGACCTGTGTCTTTCTCCTCCGACAGGCACCTTGCTGCAAGACGAGCGTCTGGATTCCCTGCGCCTGCTGTGCCTCACCTCGTTGCCCAGCTTCTGCCTCTCTCTCTCTCTCTCTCTCTCGTATATCCTTGGGAGATTTTCCTTCCTCCCAAGTAGGTCTGTCTTCAAAGGTTAAACCCCCCCAGGAGAGGGCTTCTCATTGACCTGTGTCTTTCTCCTCCGACAGGCACCTTGCTGCAAGACGAGCGTCTGGATTCCCTGCGCCTGCTGTGCCTCACCTCGTTGCCCAGCTTCTGCATCCTTTTCGGGGCGGCCCTGGTGCTGGAAGTGGTTCCAGCTTGGGACGGCACCCTGGCCTACGGGGGCGGCCTCTGGGGCTGCCTCCTGCTGAGCTGCCTCGGCTCGGTGCTCTACAACCTGGCCAGCTTCTCGGTGATTTCGCTGACCTCGGCCCTCACCATCCACGTCCTCGGCAACTTCAACGTCGTGGGGAACCTCTTCCTTTCTCACTTGCTTTTCGGGAGCCGCCTGACCCTGCTCGGCTACGCGGGCGTAGCGCTCACCCTCTCCGGGGTCTTCATGTACCATCACTGTGAGCGCATCGCAGCCTGTTGGCGGGCGCGCTGGGCGAGCCAGGAGAAAGACGAGTGAGGCGGGATTCTGTTGACCCCAGGAGGTGGCCGGCGTGTTCACCGCCCTGCAAGGATGGCCATCTGTCAAAGGGTGAGGCTTCCAGGACTGGGAGAGAGAGAGGGGGGACCGGGGATACCATGGCAGGTGGGCAGAAGAATCTTGGGAAACCTCACTTCTCTGAATCGTAGTCCTCACGTAGCCCCAGAACATCCTGCGCGTGGGCCAACAGCGACCGAAGAACGTAACTCCGTTCCATGGATTTCTAGCTTTCTGAAGGCCAAGTCATCTTTTTCCTTGCACAGACCAGGCTGGGGAGAAAGCCGTGCATTTGAATTTTGGAACACATTTGGGGAAAAAAAGAGGAGAAAAAACACCGCCAGCAGAAAATAAGCCTGTGAGAGGCAGGCTTCTGGAGTCACCCACTGTGCATGTCTTCTAGAGGAAGGGAGGTGTCTTCCTCACCTTCAGCACTGTGGCTCAAACATGCTGCCTCTGGGGAGATGGAGCAGACGTGGCAGGAGAATAAAACCAAGCACACACACCACCACCATCCCCCCGGTGGCATCAGCTTCTGCCTCGGAGAGATTCAGGACTCAAGAACTAGAAAGCAACCTTGGACAATGGAACAGTCATTGGGAACTCTACCGAATTGCTCTTCCGGGGGGTGGGGGGGTGGGAGTGAGCAGTGAAATCTCAGCTGCCTGGTTTGGTTCGTGTTGATCCTTCTCGCTGCTTCATAACCGAAGCGCCCTTGCACTAAAGGCGGGGAGGGCAGCCACGTGTTTTCCCTTCCTTCCTTGAAAAACAAAACGTTGTGGGAACTGAATGGGTCAAGAGGTCTCTGCATGTTGCATGCGGATGAGCCGGTGCTGGGATCAGGGCCCCCACCAACCACGAAGGTGGCCTGAAGGCACCTTGCACTGCCGATGCCCACAGCGTGACTTCCTTTTCCCCTTAAATAGGCATTCCGCATTGCACACAAAGCTCTGGACCAACGGCACAGAGCAACGACGACCGTGGGATCCTGCCCTGCAGAGGAAGGGCTGTTCATCTGGGTGCACCCCAGGGAGCCCGAGGGGCTCCATTCACTACTGCCATCTACCAGGGTGGAGGAGAGGGCGATTGTTTCTGTTCTTTCACTACTGCTGTCGTCTGGATGGACTAGAGGAAGTGTAGATGTTTTTGTATGTACAGTACTTGCATGCAAGCGAGAGAAGATTGTTCTGTCATGTACAGGGCATTCATGGGGGATAGCTGTCGCTTCACTCTGCTGGACAGAGCCCTGTGGATTGTGCGATTGTGTGCGAGCGAGTGAGAGAGAGAGAGAGAGAGTGTGTGTGGACACATTTCTTTATGAGTTTACCTCTTATTATTTTCCTACCCTGAACGGTGCATTTAAGGTTTGGTGCTTATTTGCTTTTGGCGTATGGCGTGCTTTCTTACGGAAATGCATTCCTTTAGCCCGCTGGGTGAGCGTGGTCAGTATTATCCGTCACAGGGTGAAAAACAAAATTGGAATGTGTGTCCGTTTTAAGGGATATCCCCCATTTTTAAAAGAATAATGGCTGATCTGTATGTGCCGATGACATCACCGTAGTTCCTTGGATTTGCGTAAATCCCCCTTAACAATATTTTGAAAACGCCCCTGTTTTTCTGCATGCAGAGGTATTTTCTTCATCTCTGCAGAGGAGAGCATTCAGGTTTACAGTTTGAAATGGAACCGTGTGTCCTGATTTATCCGCTAATATAGATTAGTTCTCCATCATTTCCATACGGGGATTCTCCCCACCCCCCCGAGTCAGCCTAGTGTGGGTTTCAAGGGCTGTTGGTCCAAACCAGTGTTGGAAAGTTAGCCAACTGATAGGATTGTCAGTCTATTGCTAAGCGGAAGTGTTCATGAGTGCAGGGTGCTCACGACTAAATGTTCACTAGTATATAAACAGTTATGTGACAGTGATGAGGAGGTCAGGATAATGGTGGAATTAAAGACGGCCGAGGCGTTTCTGCGTGCCTGAGCTGAGCTCACGGAAGGCACATTTAGTTGACGAAACCATGGCTTCATTCACAAGGTTTTCCAGCCTAAGTTTTGGGCCTGTTTCACCTAACCCTGGTTGTTCCATAAAGCACAGAGAATTGTACCAGAACCGGCGTGATTGTTACGCCTAAGACTGCCAGCCGAGGGCCAGGAGGACCCCAAATCCCTCCATCATCCCTCATGTCCTTTGTGTGGTTTTAAACCAGAGTCTATTCGGAGAGGACGGATCTGGCTTCATAAACCACGGTTTCCGATCCTGGCTAGCGAACGGCTGTTCGCCTGTTTTGGACAAAATGGGAATTTGTGGGGCTCTTGAATCAGAATGGAGGCTCACGGAAGCCAGCTCACGAGGATAAGGAGCATGTGAGCCTGACCTTGTAAAACCATGGTCTTCTTTTTTATTTCCAGCCTAGCCTACCTTATAGGGCTCTTGTGAGGATAAAGGAGGTGGAAAACCATGGGTTCCTGAGCAGAAAGGTGTGATAGAAATTAAACCGGTAGAAATGCCCCCCATAGGTGGATGGGAGACTGTGGTGGCCAAGATTTCACCGTCTGTAGCCGGTTGTGTGAACTGGTGCATGTTTAAACACCTATAACCGGATTTATTTCCAGAATTGTATCCATCAGTTTTTTAAAAAATTTGCTGATGCTACCAAACCCTTTCTTCTAACAGGCACAATTCTTGCAGTCATGCAACCGGCAGCCTCAGCCGGGTAGAAAACTATTTTAAAACAACAAGAACGAAGTGAAACCGAGCAGGTTGGATGGATTTTGTGTCTTTCTGCCATTCACGAGGACCCAGCGGGCCAGGGTGGCGGAGGGGGCCCTGCCCCACCGCTGGCCGAAGAAGAGCACATAACAGGGGCCCCCGCATCTCCGATGGCTTCGAATAAAGCTCTATTTTTGTCTTAACGAGTGTGTGGTGTCCTCGAATGACCTCGGGAGGGAAGAGGAGGCAGGGAACCGGCGGGAGCCCCTTCTTCCTCCCACCCTCGGCTCTTTGTTTCTATACCCAGCGGCTGTTTGATTAAAAGGGGAAAAATACAGAACAGGGCGGGAGGAAAGGATCATTCGCAAAGGTTTTGCTTTTCTGCCGGTGCATGCGCAGTAGTAAAGAAGGCCAGACGGAGCCAGGCCTTGCTATTTTTGCCCGTAGCACCCAGTTGCTATGGCAACCCGGAGCCGGCCCGGGCTGCCTTTGGGATCCTGGCCGTCCGGAGAAAACTCCAGTGGGAGGCTTTGTGGCCTACACCGTATGAACCCTTGTTTGTCCCAGATTGTGGAATTAAAGGAGTCTGAAGCAGCTTTTTTTTGCCAGACATGCTCCAAATGTTTCAGAGCATCGCTCGGCACAGGAGCTGGCCTGTCCGAAACACGCCACTGGGCGCTTCTGAAGAAAAAATCCTTTTTGTTGAATGTGGCTGGGGGAAAAATAAAATAAACAAAAGCCGTGGCTTTGTTCCTCTGCCTGGGAATTTGGCTTGATGCTCTTTTGGAGCCCTTAAATGGCATTTCCAGTGCGATTTCTACATTCGAGGGGCTGATCCTGCAAGCAAATAGGCCAGATTTTTGGGTGGCTGCTTACATGCCACGGGAAAAAAAAAGGGGGGGATGCATTACTAACGAGGATACTGATTGCAAGAGGGTTGCGTCCGCTAATTTATACAAGGTTAAAGGTAAAGGTTCCCCTTGACAATTTTTGTCCAGTCGTGTCCGACTCTAGGGCACAGTGCTCATCCCCGTTTCCAAGCCATAGAGCCAGCATTTTGTCTGAAGACAATCTTCCGTGGTCACATGGCCAGTGCGACTTAGACACAGAACGCTGTTACCTTCCCACTGAGGTGGTCCCTATTGATCTACTCGCATTTTGCATGCTTTCGAACCGCTAGGTTGGCGGGAGCTGGGACAAGCAATGGGCGCTCACTCCGTTGCGTGGATTCGATCTTACTCCTGCTTGGTCTTCTGACCCTGCAGCACATAAAGTCTTCTGCACCACCACGTCCCATGAATTTATACAAGATGGGTGCAAAATTAGAAATGAGGATTGAGACCAAATCGCCATGCATCATGTCGAGGTGGGAAATGCTGCAAGCAGGTGGTTGTGTGCCAGGTATACTGCCTGTCCAGGTAACGGATGGATGGACTGCTGCGGATGAACAGCTGCAGGGTTTCTGACACCCACACCCCAGCCTGGATCTTTGCCTTTAAATAAAACCTGGGCTGGATGGTTCTTATACCGGACATCTTCAAAAAGAGGGCTGTCCTCTGTCGGACACACCCTAGGCAAAAGTGGAACAAGAACGGAGGAAATGGGGCCAGGTGGTTTTTACTGGTCCTGCCGCTCTGCAGGATGGCATGTAGAAATTAAACTTGTTCAAATTTTTATTCACTGTTAAGAAAAAATCAGAAAGAATAGAAGAAAAAGAGGCACTCCGGGGCCCAAAATAAAAATGTTGTGCTTTATTTCTCGTTCTATGAAGCAGTAAAGGAAAACAAAGTTCAGTGCATTTGGTTTTAAAGGCACCGGTCCACTGGCGACCCTAATAATCAAATAGGTTTGTGTCTAACCCTCTATATCTTATTTCTTCCCAAAGGGTTGAACTGCATATTGTGCAAAGCAGTGATTCCTTTCTAGGGAATAAGGAGACCACCTATTTTGTATTTTTGAAGGCTTTCACGGCCGGGATCTGATGGTTGTGGGTTTTTCAAGCTCTTTGAGCAGGAAAGACCCACAACAATCATCAGACCACGTATTTTGCTGTGACATGCATGCAAGGAAGAGATTCTCACCTGACCGTTTTGAAACCCGTTCTGCCGGTTTTCTTATGAGTGGCTGAATTGTAGACCGGATCGCTGGCTCATGTATTCGCGCTAAAAAGGGGCCAAGAGAAAACTAGGGCGCAGGGTGAGTCCACAGCAATGGTGAACTCCATCTTTCCTGGCTGAGACCCAGACTTTTAAATGCGGCAACTCCAACTGATTCATCCACCGAAGACTCATCTCTTCCTACTCTTTCCTTCCAAAACATGCTCTTTAATGGGCAAGGGCTTCTGTGCATCCTACTTGATGCCTCGTCAAGAGGTCCAGAAAAAAAAATAGTTGTGGGTCTTTCACAACTTTTCCTCTCTCTCCACTGTTTTCAATTGGATTAATAAAATTGCATCTTGCTGCTAGGAGGAGAATGGCCAAGGTTTGTTGCATGGAGAACATTGTGTTCCAGAGCTGTCACCCTGCCTCGTCCCTGCTGTCTGGCAGGGCTCCCAGGCTTTTTATACTGTGATTGTGTCAGAAAAATTAACAGGAATATCATCCTTGCTTTGATACCTTGTTTGTTTATCTGCATCAATCCTATTTTGGCTTCTTTTTTGGATAGACCCCCGAGGAGCAGAAAATGCCTTAGATGTTTCTCATGCAGCTGTTGAACTCTAGCAAGAAAAAAAGTTGGCAACTCAGCCGCCCCCAGAATTGAAGGAAGCTGCATCTGTTGAATGTCTTCCTCCTGCATCCAGGGGTGTCACACAGCCTCTGTCAGGAGAAAAAAGACTTAGCATTTTTTATTCCTCTTTATAAATACAGAAGATTTGCTTCAGTCATTTGTGTTATGTGCAAGCTACGTTTTTGGGGGGACAAAACCTCTCAAAGCAGTTGCACCACACCAAGAATTAAAATAGAATAAAACTAAACTCTGGATATGGTGGCTAAAAAGTAGAATATTCATTTATTTAAAATGTTTTTACATTGCCTTTCTCCTTAAAAAAAAACCAAGGTGGCTTACATCAGTAGAAGACGATATTCAAAAGCTAAAAACAGGATGTATACAAAGATAAAATAAATAAATAAAGATTAAAAAATGATCAAACATGCACCATACTAAAATAGTAAACAACATCAGTACCAAAAACAACAAGCCACAACAATTGGTATTCCTGGTCATATCTTTCTAACAGAGCTGTGCTGGTTAGCCTTTTCTAAACCTGGAAACAACTTTAGCGATTTCTTTTTCATTGTTACGCTACTAAACCCTGAAGTCTAGAACAAACGGAAATCATCTGATTTTCTTTTAAGAGACTGAATATCTTTGATATGTTTTTACGATCAGGATACCTTTTTCTTTTTCTCTCCTGGCTTCGTTGTCTTCAACAGCAGAAGGACACAAAATATCAATGGAAGAAGGGAAGCTTTCCTATCCAGGAAATAATGTTTTCCTTGTTTAATATTTTCACAGCTCTTGCAGACACAACAGCCGAGGCTAAAATAAACAATTGTCTAGCCTCTGCCACGTTCAAAGGATCATAACCCCACGATCCGCTTCTAGCAAGATTTCGTCCTCCCTGGAGAACCAACTGTGACTTTTGGCTGATTTCTAGGGCATCCTAGGCAGGTTTACTCAGAAGTAAGAGCTGCTGATTTTGCTGGAAATCTAGCTATGTGGCAAACTCATACATTGGGCTTCCCATTGCTTTATTATAACCATCATTCTTCAAACAAAAGCGGCCATCGCTCAAAATCTTAACTTCCCCTGTTTACATAGTGCTTATCCTTTTGGTTAGCTGCCTGAAATACTGAAAAAGGCAGCTTATTTTTTGTTTTGTTTAAGGAAACCAACTAAAGCGGCCGATGCTTTTTCTGGCACAGCTCCTGGGCCATTCCAAACGACATGCCAAACGGGAATTTGGGTAGAAACATTTATTTATTTTGGCCCATCTCTCCCCCCACCCCCAAATACTGTGTGCCTGGGGAAGCTTAACCTGTTGAATCTAAACCCGCTTGCGCTTTAAGATCCTGGCACTAGGCCAGCACCAAAGAGGGTCATTCCCCCACGAGGGTCCTTAGGCTTTTCCTTTCCTGATGAAAGCACAGAGGTTTGTGACCAACGGCAAAGACTGATGTTTGTGCGGGTCATTCCCCCACGAGGGTCCTTAGGCTTTTCCTTTCCTGATGAAATCACAGAGGTCCAACGGTTTGTGAAAAGATTGTGATGGTGTGCTCTTAACAACTTTATAGAGATTATAGGAAACTCAAGGGCTGGCCCAGGGAAACTCGCTGGAAGAGGTGTGTGTGTTGTTTAGTTTTCACACGATGACGCTGCAGAGGCATGCATAGCCAACTTCCTGCAAAGGTAAAGCACCTGGCTGGATTTCCTGGCCTTGGAAGGACAGGTGGAGCGGTTTTGCTTTCCCCACGTCTCTCACCTGGTGCACACCTTCTTGTGTTCCAGCCGGCTGCCTGGAGATCTGAGTAAGTGGAGGGTCTCTTCCCCTGCTCCCCTTGTCAATTGATTCCATTAGAAAAGGGGAAAAGAGCAGAGGTGTTTTGATTGGGGGATGTCTGGGCGAGTTACAGTCCATCGTGTGACATAAAGCAACGTTCGGCGCGCTGGAGGTTGCCAAATCGCAGCCAGCCCTTCGTCTAGCAAGAACAGAAACCTGAAACCGGCAGCCTCTGAGCAAATATTTCAGGCCCCATTTTAGAAGGTGCTTTGAACTGCCGGGTAGGTCTGTGGTTTGGGTCTCTGACGGCAGAGGTTGGGAGTTTGATTCCCCCCGCCGGGCCTCCTTCAGAGGGTCTAGACTCCATGATCCATCGGGTACCTTCCAGTTTGGCAGTTCTAAGAACCTAAATGGGGATCTGGCCCAGACATTTAGCCATAATTTTGGGAAACGGTATGTTTCTTCTGATGAAGGCTTCTGTAGGAGTTGAAAGCTGACTTCTGATTGTGATATTTTAGAGGTCTAATAAAACTGTTACCCAGCTGTGTCTTCAGAGGGTGGAGAAAGGACCTCGTGGCTCTCCCCTGCCCCAATGGCATTTGGTGTTCCTTTGTGAAGAAAAATAAACCTTGAATTTGGAGTTATTATTAGCCAGAGGTCAGGGTGCTGGTTGACTTCCCAGGGGTTTGTCACCAGACTTCCTTGGGACCCCAGGCAGGAAAAGAAGTCTCAGAATGAGTGACATGACAAGAAAATTCGGTTTCGTCCTGTTCTGTGGTTTTAACGCTTTAGTGCTCATCTCTAGGGCTGTCAGGAGGGTGGAGCCGCTAGGGCTTTGCCCCAGGGGAGCAAAATGTAGAGGGTGCTGGAATCTAGAGGTTAATCTATTGGGCGAGTGTTGGGAAGATGGACTACAGGACCCAGACACCTGCTGAAATTGCTCCAAGCAGGAAGCTGGGACCTCGGATTTCCTTCCAAAAAGATCCACTGAGGTCTCTACAGCTGGTGCAGAAATGACGAGAGATCATGCCTGAGTACAAAGGAAGACGAAGTAGCTTGGGGTGCTAAGCTCTGCAGCTCTGCAAAGCATTAGAGGTATTGTAGTCTCCTTTGACCGTCCCCTTCCTCCTGTTCGTTTGCTTCTATTGTCTTGTTGATTGCCCCCTCTTCTTCACCTGGCTGTCTTCAGAGAAGCAGGCATGTGGGCTTTTCCCATGTCTGGAGACTCTATTGTTCCTCCCCCCACCTTCTGATTGTAACTGCCGATGCTAACTGTAAGTAAAGCTACGTATTCTATTTTTGAAGGCTTTTAGAGCGATTTTCTACTTTAGAAAGCACTCGTTTTGTGTGCAATCAATAAGAGGATGGTGAGACTGGGCTGATCTCTCCACATTTCCATGATTTTTCAGCCTGTTACTCTGCTAACTGAAGAAGTAACCAAATTCCTAGAAACCCTTTTACCCAAAATTCCCCGGCCTAATTCAAGGCACATTAGTCCTATGTAATGAAAGTGAGGACTGACGTTGAAACCGTCTGCCTATAAAATACACCCTTTTTTGCAATTCTGGCTCCTCTGTGCCTTATTTCAAAGGCCTTCGTGTGGACCTTTAAAAATATGCACCAAGAAAAGCAAACTACTGTACTTTTCCTGGTGCATAGGATGATTGTTTCCTCTTGGGGGGGGTGGGTGTTCATCGCCACCCCTCGCTGGCCTCCATTCTTGTGCCTTTAATAATGACTGTGTCAAAGAAAGCTTTTCTTGATACTGTGTTAAGGTGATGGAAAAGCTTCACTGGCTATAGGTCTGGAAGGAAGTGAGAAAAGATGATGACAGGGCAGGAGGAACGTGCTTTGCAGTGGGCGTGACCTTTACGTCTTCCTCCCTTCCAGGCTGGCAAAGCAGATGAACGCAGAGACCTCTCCTCGGATACGATGCCTCCAGCAGATCCATAAGGTAATGTGACGCCCGTCCGTATCTAAGCCACCCAGGTTTCTCTCGACTCCGAACTCCCAGCCTGCGCTTCAAGGAGGCCGGTGGGAGTGTGAATTTTCCTTTCCTTCTTGGTCCCTCTACCTTCACAGGTGCATCTGATGGGGACACAGGAGAAGGGCCTTCTCTGTGGCTGCTCACAGACTGTGGAACTCCCTCCCACTGGAGGCCAGCCTGGCCGTGTCTTGGCTGTCCTTTCTCTTCAGACAGGCTTTTCCAGGGGGTGCTCAAAATGGGACTGTTGCATCTTGGTTGTTTTTAACGTGGGTTTAGTCCTGTTTTTAATACAGTATTTGCGTCATTTTTTTTGAAAAATATTGTAACGATGCATTGTTCTTAGCTTTTTAATTTTGCTTATTTTTTTAATACTGTGATCTGCCCTGGGTCTCTTTTTAAGAGAAAGGGTAGGGGCATAAATACTTTAAATAAATAAATGAATGAATTCTTTTGTTAAGCTACATATGCAGGCTGCCATATTCCCCTGAAGATAGGAGAGTTTGTGAGTTTTACAGTCCTTGTTTATATCCTTTCTCACCTTGTCTGTTCCTCGGAGTTTTCTATTTTTCCCCACATTAAGACCTTTATAGATTAGAACGTGTTGCTATTTTTAATCCAATAGATTTGTTGGTTATATATGGAATCTTTTCTCCCTCTGCTGGTTAGATTGCGAAATTGCACATTTCTATTTATGGCAGCTTGGGGGGAGACTCACCAGCTGTAATCATCATCGTCATCATCATCTTAGAACTGCAGAA